TATAATTAATACACATCTTTTTGGTATATATAATTTTAAGAAATATACAGTTTATTTTATTCTTTATGAATAAATTGTTAATTACCCAGCAAGAAATAATCGTCAATTAAACATCAAATCGACGTCAAATTAATGTTGAAATCAACGTATCGATATCGATTCGATGATTCATTTCTCGTTGGATAAAATTTACTTTCTAAAAATAAAGTTTTTTTAAAAAATATTTTCTCTGTACAAATACTTTTTACACTGTATATATCGTATATATAAAGATAAGTTTTTGTAATACTTGTAAAAGAATTAATTTAAATTTAATTATTTTATTTTTAATTTAAATTTAATTATTAGAGAATATTTCTGAGACGATAAGCAAATGATATCGCTAACAATTGTAAATATAAATTGTTGTAAGATAGTGAATTACCTTTGTAAGTATCTTAACAATTTCGCCCTTGACTTTCTTGCCTTCCACGATTGGCTCGATAACAATGTAGTCACCTCTCTTTATCCAGATATTTTGCCTGAACTTAGTAGGCATCGAGACAATGTACTGTTCTCCGGCGGGAGTGACGACTTCATGAAGATTGTGACCACGCGCCTGCACAATTCGTACGATGCTTTGTGAATCCGTAGGGAGACTCATATCGTCGAGCTCTTGAAATACGTATTTACGCTTCGTTGTTACAGATGACATTGTGATCTATAAAATTAAATTAAAAATACCATAACTTATTCTCTCGCCTCCATTTATTTTCCTTTATTATGAGACAAAGTTATGCGTTCTCGAAAGTAGCGATACAAAATAATTTCATAACATCATTAAATAGCTTTTTATGAGATTGTAGCAATTTTTTTAACGATGAAATCCAGCGTTTCATTTAACTTTGCGATTTTTTGCATCATGCCAATAGCCTAGCGAGCCGCCAGATTTTTCCAAGGCAGCCCAGACATCTAAACTTTCGCCAGGCGGTATCTCATATCCATTTTGTAAGCCGTGAGGATTGGATGGAGTCTTACAATCGTGAATGGACTCTTTGCGAAGGACAGTATCAACTTCCACGGCGGCAAAAAACGCTACCGACATCGGCAGATCTCTCATTTCTAGTCTAGAAGCGCAGAATGATCTCGTCATTAAATTGGTCACGTGCATGGCCAACGCAGCGTTGTACTTATACTTGAACGGGACCAAATATCTCACTTCATCGTGAAACGATAAGCAGAATCTAGCGTTATCTCTCATCAGCCATCTCATGGAAACCAGCATCAGATGAAGGAAGTCTACCGCGCCACTCTGCACAACCCAATTAATTTTGGTGGGCAAGAATTTGTCATCATCGTCGGTATTGGTGATCTCCAGGGCACGACTCAATCTGGAGTCAAGGAACGGCGTGATTGGATATTCACTGCCAGCGATCTGTTCTAATCGGTTGAACATGGCTGATTCCGAGCCGCCCATCCATTCACTCTTCAGAAAGATGTCCTGTAACGCTTTGCCATGCAACTTCGCTATCTTATATGCTTGAGAGGATGTGTAGACAATGTCTTCTAAGTCATCATTGACGAATTTAGGCTTCAACCGAAATACTTTTTTACCCTTTGTAAGATCAAACATCTTGCGTGATTTAGAGATAGCTTCGGCGTCCGTCATAGATGGATTAAATTGCTTCAGCAGCCGTTGGGCGAACTTCTGACCGGCACCGTAGATTCGGGCGTAGTTGATGACTTTGGCGTGGTCGCGCGAAATACCGATAGCCTTGGCGGTAACGCTGTGCATATCGGTGCCATTGGACTTGGTGCCAATGAGGGTCATCCAGCCGAAAGGCGTCGCTCCGTGGACACGCTTGTAATGTGCATCTCCGATGATCGAGGCGATCCATAACTCCTGGCTATCCACGTCAGCACCGACAATATTGTATCCTGGCGGCGCTTGCACCATACATCTGAGCTCGGAACCAATTCGTTCGACATGTGCATTTGACGCTGTCATCCACGTAGGCTCTACAGCGCGACGTGTTAAAGTACCGGAAACGATTACCTGAGGTATTATCGCGCCATAACGCATGTATCGCTTCGTTCTCTTGACGTTGTTGGGCAGAGAGTTATTGTCCAGCCATATCACCAGTTGCGACATGATCCTATCGCGATTATTCCGCCAGTAAGACAGCATACGAGCGATTTTCAGCACCTCCGCGGCGCTGACATCCAATCCGGCGAGTACATTCTCAGAAAACTTGTTAAGGAAGTCTTTAGCGAGCGGATTTCCGACATTGAAATTGGCACCATCCTTGTGTGGCAGCTTGAAGAAGTAGCAACAGTTGTCAATATCGATGTTGCACCACACGCCAGTACCCTTATATATTTCATCGTATAACTTATTCTGTTTCTTCTTAAATCGCCAGAATTCCGTCTTGTGAAGATCGTTTTGTACGTCGATGCTCAAAGTGGCCATCGCGTCATCGGAACTATCTCTGGACAGACTGGGCGCTGGCAAAGGACACTGCGCCAAAAGATTTTCCAATGGCAGTTTGGTCTCAATGTCGGGATCGTTCCTGTAAGGTACAAGAATTCCCCAACCGTGGTCCTTTATATAATGCAACGGATACTTCTCCCATGTTAGATTCAACAGCTTCGGAACCACCTGCATGGAAGTGCTAATATTCTGTGGACCTGGTTCCCAGTCTTCATCTTCGCTTTGCTTAGGACACAGTTTTCTGTACCACGCTGGATATCCTGGCATGTGCGGCATTCTAGCTGGTAATAAGTGTCTGGTTTTCTCCAAATACGCAAATTCCTTTGCTAGAGGATCCTCTTCTTCTTCCTCATCATCTGATAAATATTTAGCGTCTGACTGCTCTTTTGTTTTTTCTATTATATTTGTCTCTACGTTAGCAGCCTTTATTTTTGAGATTTTGCTTTTCATCTTAATATTCTGTGTGCTCCAATCTTGGTCCCACATCCACAAGTCCTTCTTATATTTTTCATCGTGCATGAGATGACAAACAGCATCGGCTCTCTTGGCAAGAGTGAATTTCGCTTCGTAATTTAAGTCGTCAAAGGTCGACTCTGATTCCTCCAAGTATCTTTGCCAATTGGAATTCACCGGCAAGTATGCTGAACTGAGTTCCAGCATTCCTGCCAAAGTAACTGGATGAGGGAATCTTTCTTGAAAGAGTGGAAATAATTTGCGTAGTATATTGTGAGTAGCAACTACATCGGAAGCACAGTAAGACATCAACATATTGAAATTATCTTTAATATTTTCAAGAGTACCTTCGACAAATAAATTCCTTGCCTCTTTACTTATCTCATAGCCACAGTACAGCTTATGCACTTCTATCAAACTGTTCAATGAAGTGGTAGACTGCCAGATCTCTTTCTCCGAGCCTACTTTCTTAGATAGTAATAGCGATCTTTGATAACTGTTGAGACCACTGACACACACATGTAATGACATAGTATCAAGGAAACGAGTTCCTGTGGAATTCAACCAATACTGCTCCTTAATTCTACTTCTGTCATATGATACGTTGTGACCTACAATAATTTTTGGTTTCTTCTGATGCTGGTTCAGTCTATGTCCGTATTCCTCTTTGCTGCTCTCTATAGGAATGAGCATATTTGGCGTAAACAACTGTGTGTCAAATGTTTGACTAATATTTTGTGCCAAGGAATTTGATACCCAACTGTACCAGGCTTTATCACTGACCGCAGTGGCTAGAGTAGGTAAAGGACCCTGTTTCATGCAGACCTCAACGTCGAAAATTAGACCATCTTCTAAAGGGTAATCTATGCTTTCTGCTGTACCATCTGCTGTATATCTAGTCCAGCCTTCTTTGAAAAGCCATTGTGTTGGCATTTTGGGAATATCATTCATAATATTACTTATAATTTTTAAATACGGCTTAGTTTGTGCTTTTCCAATATTATAAAAATGTTCTTCTATATCTTTTCCTTCCAAAGTCGGTAGTTTCAAGTTCACGTCTAGCAACCTGGTTGCATCCTCCACATTTATACCATATGTGATTAAATTTTTCTTTATGCTATCGATTTCCTCTTCAGACAGAGAGTTTTCTTTATCATCTTTTCTGAACAATTGCTGATGCAATGCTTTGGGTAACATTTGCATATTTATTTCGTTAACTCGAACGTTATCATTCTTCGAATTTGCATTTGAATCAATATTTGTATTATTTTCTGATTCTCTTAATTCTTGAGACTCATTTTGTTGTAATTGTTGATCCAATTCAGTTACTTGCCTGTTTTTATCATGAATGTTTGTACTTTTATTGTCAGATTCTATATCTGAATTTATATTCTGCTCTGTTGTTGATTTCTTTGATATTTGTATGTTAACATTCAACTTGTTTGGCACTCTCTTAGACTTTGCGAATAATTTGTCATAGCCCATCTCAAAATTAACTGGTATCACAGGAGAATTGCGAAGAGAGTTTGTGGTTGATTTGTCGTTCTTAGAGGTTAAATTCTCTTGGTTGGATTCTTGGGAATTCTTCAGACGAACCCTCTTCCACTGAATCTTAGAAAGATGAATGTCATCCTGCGCGTTGGTGCATTTGTGTCGAATGCAAATGTTAATCAAACGAATCCTCAGTCTCATCTTTACCATCTTTATCATCTTTCCGTTCAATATCACGCAGCTATAACGAGACACGTGCTTCGACAGCCGGGGCTATCGAAACACCGTGCACATTACGAAAGAATCTCTGAATTTTCAATTAAAAAATAACGAAATCTTACCTGATCACACTGAATTAAACAAATTGCGTTTTCTTTGGGAGAATAATAGTTCGATGAATTTCATAAAATTGTATTTTGGCGAAGTAAACATCACATACATTTAAGAGATGCTTTGATGCTTCTCGTCTGAAATTAGGCGTTATTAGGCAGGTTTGCCATCCTATTTGTCATCATAGCCATCCTGTTTCATTTCTTCGAATGTGGTTTAACTTCAAATGAAAAATACGTCTCATCATTTAATTTATCTAAAGGAATAATATAACTTCGATTTTCTCCCTTCAGAAAGGAATTATAAATTCCATAAAATTATATTTCGATAAAACAAGTGTCGAGAAACTAGTGTATATATTACGTGCACTAAAGTGTACTTGTGTCCAAAGGTAGGCACTTTTAGGCGGCATCCTTAAATTGGCCATCCTGTTCCAGTTCCTATTTCTAACTTCAGACACTAACAAAGCCATCATATTGCACTCTTAATCACGCGATTTTGAAAATCAATAGCGGATGTGCCTCTTACTTTATATTTTTAATTACAACTTCCTCTGCGATAATTGTACGAATAATGAAATGAATACATAAACACATTAATTGGCTAATTAATAATATCCATAGTTCGTTGAGAAAAATCACGTCGCGATCCAATTATAAAAGCTTTCACGGCTTATAATAAATTCGAAAGATATAATTCACATAAGTATATATGAATTTATTTTTTCTATATACATATATATATATAAAACCTTATATATGTATGTATAAGCATCTATATTTTTCATTTATCTCTATATAATGCTTATAT